GTTGGCTGGGGAATTCTGGGAGTTGAAGTCCACTCATCTTAAAGTGGCCAAGTTTGGACAACACTGTCCTAAGGCATCTAGGTGATGGAAGATTTTAGGCATCTATGAACCTATGCAGTCAGACTCAGCTACAAACCGCTCCCAACCCATCTTTTGCAAACCAGTGAGCCAATCTCAAGTATGGCATCAGACTGGTTTCTTAGGAGAGTGGATTACCAGGTCAAACATAACATTTGACTTTTTTCTGGCTGGACAGCAGGGAAACACGTTCAAGGTCCACAGAAAGGCCAGATGGACACATTCCAGAAGAAAAAGAGAACATTGGAACATTACTGGACAGTGGAGTTTGGTAGCAAACTCCAACAGATCCTAGTTACTCCACCCGTTAATGCTTTCATGATGCCCGAGGTCAAGTCAACAAGCTGCGTACTCCATCTCACTGGCCCAGAAACTATATTATTGTGTGCAAACTGGCTTATTTCAAGAAGGAATGAGATTCGGGAATTGACGAGAACGTTTTTAAATTATCCTGAATTTTTTTCCAAGGCAGCAGAGAGTCAGAGAGAGAGACTGCTGTCTGCCTGTTCACCAAGACAAACAACTGTGATTGCACCCACCAGAACATTCCGCCTTGGAATGTTCCTGTTATTTAAATGTTTCCACAAATGAGCAGCAAACAAGTCTGAAGATGTGCAAAGGAATCACCAAGCTGTGTCAAATTACACCCCTTTGACCCCAGTCAAGGGAGCTCTGTTAAATTGATAACAGAAGCCTTCCAGTTTCACCACCACCACCACCAGCTCCTAGCTGTTCTTAAATTTGGATCTGAGAACTCAGAGAAGTCACTTTTATCCACTGGGGGTTATTTTTCCATAAAAGCCCTGTGCTGAGATTCTAGGTGGCTGACAATCTTTTCCTCAATCTCCATGCCTTGGGCGATTTCATCCTCCGAAAGCAACAACGGGGTTTCCAAATCCTTCGTGACCACGATCACGGAGGTTCTTCGCGAGTCCAGGGTGTTGGCAATTACCACCTGGTGGTGATATTTCTCCAGAGCTTGCCTTGCTTTCTCGACCAGGATCGAAGCATCGGTTTCCAACTTGAAGGAAATCACAAATGCTTCTGGCGCCCATTCCTTAACCAGAGGAGCGAGCATTTTGGGTACCATCTTCATGGTTATCTGCAACAAGGGAAGCACAGAGAATTTAGCAAAAGACACATTTTCAACCCAGAGAAGGAACAACAGTGATCTTTCTCTTCCTTCCACTTTCTTGAAATGCCACCGCCCAATTCGTTTCCTTCTTTAGCCCAACATTAAACTGCTGTCCTCCAGTAGGATAGCTAATAATTCCAAGAGTCGTAATTGTCAGCTGCGTGCACGGAAACAGTAACCTATTTTACGGTGTTCACACAAACAAGCCTCTCACTTGGCTCTTTGCCTTAACACTATTTTTGGAAAAGGTTTTCTGCTTAGCAGCTTCCACAAGGTGAGCCAGAAAACCACAGTCACTCTTTCACACACTACACAGCATGGGCCAAAATGTTCTGCAACATTTTTCAAAGCTGGATATAGGCGGAAATCCCCTGACAGTGCTGGCTGTCCAACTTCTCCCTTTCTTGCTTCTCAGAAGTAAAATGTATCTCTGTCTTATAGCAGGACCATGACTTCTGCAAGATGACAGCTCTCTACAGCACGCCTGCATCCCATAAAAAAAAATGGCTGAGCAGAAAGGCCAGCAGGCATCCAGGGGAGGGTCTGAGGGCACTGACCCCTACAGCAGGCCATGGAAAGTCCCTCCTCAAAAGGCACTGGGGGGTGTCCTCAGCCTTCCCTGGAGTTTCCCAGAAACATCATTTTCAGGGCTGAGCCTCAGAGCAAAGAAACGCTGCGTGGTGCAGCCTGGTGCCACCTGTTTTGGCCCCTCTTCCTGCTCTCTCGGCCTACGCCTTCCTCCTCCCAATATTCTCCCGCTTCTCTGTTTCAAAGCGGCCACCCTCCTGAAGGACATCCCACACCATCTCCCCTTACCTGGAGGGGCCCATCAGATGACTGGATTTTATGTTCAGGCATCTCTGAAGGGGGGATGTAGAAATCCGACACAGCAGCCGCCAAGTAGAACATGGCGCTGGAACCTGAGGGGGGTCGAGAGTGAAAAAGGTGGGGATTGGAGCAAGGACATCCAGCCGTTCCCTCCCTCCAAAATAAAGCTATAAAGGCAAAGCTGCCTTGCCTTCTGGCAATTCTAAACCTTAATAACAGCTTATTGAATTTATATGCCACCCAACTCCCAGTGACACTTTCATCCTTCTACCAGCCTTGGGCTGTGACTATCCAAGCCGCTATTATTTTTAGATTTCTATCCCTCCTTTTTTGATATCTATCAATCAATCACAAGCTGGCAAACATACCTAATACTCCTTCCTCCTCCTCTTTTCCCCATCACAACAACCCTGTGATGTGGGTTGGGCGGAGAGGGAGGGGCTGGCCAAGCTGGCCTTTCTACCTAAGGGAGGCCTCGAACTCCCAGGCTCTTGGTTTCTAGGCCAGCACCTTCACCAACTACAGTAACATACTGTATTTGCACTTATGTTTGCATGTACTGCCCTGGCCTGTGATTGCACGTACTGCTTGCCTACAATGGATTGTCTGTGTTTGCATGCGCTCTCTGTAAGTACTGTGCTGGCCTGTGTTTGCATGTACTGTTTGCATGTAATGGACTGGCCTGTGTTTGCATGTACTCTCTGCCTGTA